TATATGATTTTTTTTCCCCCCTAGCAGTATTTACAAGGAGATATAGTGAATGAATGTTGCAGTGTACCGTGGTCCTGCATGTTCAATGGTAGTATTTGGTCAGCAAGGCAAAAATGAGGTCTCAATGAACCGAATGAATAAAAAAGGCCTAACATGATCTGAGTCAGTTCTTGAGTGTCCTGTCCTGCGTGGGAGTGAGGGAGCCACTTCCAACGCCATGACAAACTTCCACTCCTGATAATAGAAAGTGCCCCGTAAACATCGTTCCACCAAGAATCGGGAAATGGCTGCGCTCTGCAGTCCTTGAGATCCAACAGGTTCTCTGATGTGTGAATCAGCTCGTGCCTCAAGAGCAGCGACAGTTCTTAGCTTCATCTCTGGGAATGTAGAGGAAGAATCCACAACCCCATGAGGCAGGGAGCGGAGGAAATGTCAATGTTACTCTGCGTTTGTGATGAGGTATCAGCGTTTCTTGATGGCCGCGCCGTTGGAATGGGGAGGGAGCTTCGGGAGGCAGGGCTCCTCAGCACCGGCATCGTGAGAGAAGACGGAGTCCTCGCCAGAAGAGCAAGTGGAGCTGCGGGTATCGGGGTAGTTGGTGGTGTATTGATCCAAGGGCACCGACAGCTCTAAATACTCCTGTATGCGGGAAAGGCGCACAATAAAAACACTGTTGTTTCCGCGACACACGTGGCTGCTGCTTTCACCCGTGATGAGCAAAGGACTGACCTGGTTGGACGTCATGGCCAGACAGCGGTCCAAATCCTCGACAAGCTGCTTGAATGTGGGCCTCTGGGAGGGCACAGCATGCCAGCAGTCCCTCATCATCATGTACCTGCATGAAGTCAAAGTTGAGAGACTGACTTCAAATAGTCCACTTTGAGATCTTGGACTGTTAACCTCATGTAAATACGTCCAGTAATAACGTTTGCTGAAAGGAAACTCTTTTGAATGACTTTGAATCCATGTTTGAATCATGACTTTTATGAAATACCATTTTGGGTCCATGTTTATATCTGACGTACATCATTTGAATAAAAAAATAATAATAAATGAAACTGTGACAAGTTTTGTATTGAAAAATAATAATACTCATGTTTTCCAAACAATAATAATGTTTTTTAACACAATCTATTGCAATTAATGAACACCACAACCTCACTAGAGCAGAATAAAATTTGAAGAAATAATAGCAGTTAACATTTTTTGTTTGCTCAGTGGCAAAACACTTCCTCTTTGATGGAGGATGAGTGGATGGACAGTGCCATTTTGACTTTGGCAAATCTGCAACTTGAACCTAGAATGCAATGATCAATGAATGTGGTTATTCTTAAAAAAAGGTTTCGACAAACCGATACTCGGGCAAGCAGAGAAGGAAGCAAATCATCTCTAGTTTTTTGGATTTGTTGCCAACATTCCAGGGGGAAATGCCAGATGAGATCATAATTTCCTTACAGCTCATGAGTGCATGTGGAGGGTTTGTCCATGCGGTGACCTTCCTTCAGCAGCTTAAACAGTTCTTCCACAGGGACGCCAGGGTATGGAGAGCCTCCCAGGGTAAAGATTTCCCAAAGCAGAACGCCAAATGACCAGCTGCAGACAAGCGCAACATGAACTCAAGAGTTTTCACCGCATTGCGTCGGGAATGAATAACGAAAAACATGATACTCACACATCACTCTGGTGGGTGTATATTCGATCAAATAGCGCTTCAGGAGCCATCCACTTGACTGGTAAACGACCCTGTGGGGAAAAAAAAAGTACGGGCCTTATTGATATTCATGCTCATCAAAGTATTTCTCCAAAATGATGAAACTACTTACATTGGTGGTCTTTTTGTAGTAATCAATGTGGTGGATGTCTCTTGCCAGGCCAAAATCAGCTATTTTCATCACACTGTCTTCAGTTACCAAAACATTACGAGCGGCAAGGTCTCTGTGGATGCACTGTCGTGATGGGGGTTGTCCATTATTGTACAACAAATGGTTTGAGGAAAAGTGTTGCTTTCGTTTCGTTTGCTTATGCTTGTATTACCTTTTTGGAAGCCAGGTACTCCATGCCTCGGGCCACTTGATAGGCACAGGACACCAGGTCTTTGATGGACATGTTCTCGACAGGAACTTGGTCTGGGTTGTAACAGTACTCCATGCCTGGAGGGCGCCGTGCATGCAAAAACTCCCTCAAATTGCCCTTGGATGCATACTCCACGATCACATACAAAGGACCTACGGAGAAATAGGCATCATGGTGGTTTGGAAATATTTGTTGTTTTTATATACAGTACCAAGACATCATTTGAGTTACACATCCGCCCGATTAATTGCAAATTAGAGCCATTAGAATGCACACATCTGCAATGCGTACATTCTCCTCACTGACATTCAGGAAGATAGAACATAGAGGTAAAGAAGGGTGATTTAAAACTGCCATCCATGGATACAGTACATGTCAACTATTACTCAAAATACTTTTCAATAGCAGAAGAGCAAAGCAACGGCCGCATGCGAGAGGCGGGGGCTCTTACCATCCTGTGTGCAGGCTCCCAGCAGATTTATGATGTTCTTGTGTTTCCCGATGATCTTCATCATTTCCATCTCTGAAATCAGGTCTGACAGGTCTTTCTCTGTGGCATCAGCTGGACGGCATCACAAACAAATGACATTAAGGGCATTAGTCCGTATTTTGCTTTGAATAGAATCGAATACTCCATGTAACCAAGCACTGTAGTTCTTCGACATTATCTTACAATTCTTGCTCCTATTCTTCGAGACATCGAATGCTACTTTTGTTCAATCTCCATCACAGCCATTTCAAGGTTTGGTTACGGTTAGTTTATGGTTTACAGGCAGAGGTCTCCAGCTGAATATTAATATTCCCACCATCGGCGCTTACAAATAATACTAAATGGTAAAGGGGGGCTTACTTACACTTCAACATTTTCACTGCAACCTTTGTCACACGATTTGGCTTTTCTTTGTCAAGACCCAGTGCCTCTCCCATCACCACCTGACCGAAGCAGCCTTCGCCCAGGGGCTTCCCAAGAACAAGTCTGCAGGCAAGACAGTAAAAAGAAGGCTAGATGTATGCTTTCCTTTCATATCACTCTGATTCTAAAGTGGAACCTGAAAACTTTCTATGCGTTACACACTGCTTAAGTCACGTTTCCATGTGGAAACAGTGGAAATTTTGGAGTTTTAATGGCCTGCCACGTGTAAGAATGAAAATGACATCTTCTGTACATACCGATCTCGAGGAAGCTCCCAGCGGGGATCTTGTGGCAGTTCATACTCAGACACCCCTGACAACATTGGAGAGCCGCTGGAGGACAGGCGAGAAGGTCGAACCAACATCACACCAGAGTGGATGGAGGAACTTGAGTCTACCGACACCTGAGATAAAGAAGCCTGACATTACTCCCCTCAAAGTGAAACAGACACAGATGACGTCCTAAACTAATTTAGCCAAGAACAGGTGGGTGTGGGGTCAAGGGAGGGAACGGGAGGGGGGGGGGGGAGTCTGGAGTTTGGGCGGGGCTTGTTGAATAACCTTGTACCACGAGGTTCAAGAACTCGATACCTACCTGATACAAAACTTGGACTCCTGACAATCTCCATGGAAGCATGCTTTTAGTACAATTGAAGCTTAAACATACACTCATTGAGGTGAGAGCAAAAGTGGGAGAGAGAGAGAGAGAAAGAGGTGGAAAAGGTAAAAATGTTCCGAACCCCCTATCTACTTTCTGTTACCTGTCTGCGCAGAGGGATGCTTTTAGCCAGCTTGTGCACAGCCAGCTGACTGTTGAAGTCACTCTTCTTGGAGGAGTTGCGAATCTTGACAATAATTACGATGGCAACCATGACTGCGATGAAGAAGAAGCCCACACAGTAGATGACCACCTCCAGATAAGTGTGGTTGGCAGGAGGATAGTGTGGGACGGCTACACACGGAGGGGAACGCAGGGGTAAAAGGAGCAGAGGAGTAGCGTCAGCTGGTACGTATGAAGTGTACATACGCTCATGAGCACTTGCACCCATCAGTACAAAACCACCACAGCATCCACATACACCAACATACTCTCAAGCTTTTGTGCCTAAAACCAGACCCTTTGACACCACGCCATTAACACACGAATAACGTGACATTATCATCAGTGGTCGCAGCAGGCTCAAGTACAGACACGTGAAGTAAACCACAAATAGCCAATTTTCAGTACGAAGCAAATTGGATGGTAGAGGGACATTTTAATTTCAGCACGTTTATCATTCAAAAAGCTTTGAAAGAGGGAGAGGCCGGAACCATGCCAAGGGTGTGGTTGTCACACACAACGCTCATGCTTCGCACGCACACTTCACATGTGCACAGAGACACTTACAGGTGCGCACACACACGAACACGCTCACATATAGTTTTCATTACTTGTGTGTAATTTTCACCAAAAGTGTTGTGTTTTGGTGCCAGGGATACACAAACGTTACTCTTTGAGAAAGAGCCAATATAAGCATGAATTAAACTAAGTTTAATGAAATTAATATGATCTTGTTTTTATCCTCCCATTTGATAAAAAGGACCTTAAGTATTGTAAACACCAGCGGCACACATTGGCTTGGGATGGGACCGCACATCAATATATTGGACAGTTCAAATTGTGATTCTTGCATGTCGAGGTCATCTCCATTTATATGTACTGCATATACGTAGACAGATAAACATACACTGAGCAAAAATATAAAAGCAGCACTTTTGTATTCCTACTTTTTTTTTAAACTGGACTCAAAGATCAAAAACTTTTTCTGCATACACAAAATGTCATTTCTATCAAATATTGTTTACAAATCTGTCTAAATCTGTGTTAGTGGGCATATCTCTTTTGTTAAAATAATCCATTCCACCTCACAGGTGCATTATTGCACAGGTGTGACTTAGACTGGCCACAACAAAATGCCGCTCTGAAATGTGCAATTTTATCACACAGCATAATGCCATAAATGTCCCAAGTTTAGCGAGAGCAAGTCATTGGTATGCTGACTAAAGCGAGGTCCACCGGGGCTGTTGCCGGTGAATTGAATGTTCATTTCTCAATCATAAGACATAAGTCTCAAAAGGCGTTTCTGACAATTTGGCAGTACACCCAATGAGCCTCACCACCGCAAACCACATTCAACCACACCAGTCCAGGACCTCCACATCCAACATGTTCCCCTCCAAGATCGTCTGTGACCAGCCACCCGGACAGCTGCTGCAACGATCGGCTTGCATAACCAAAGGATTTCCACACAAATTTAAGAAATCATCTCAGGGAAGCTCATCTGCAGCCTCATCGGGGTTTCAACCTGGCTGCAGTTTGTCATCATAACCAACTTGAGTGAGCGAATGCTCACATTCGATGGCATGTGGCACGTTGGAGCGGTGGTCTCCAAGGATGACTCCCGGTTTTCACTGTTCAGGACGTGGTTGAGCGGTTTACTGATGTCAATATTGTGGATTGAGTGGCCCATGGTGGCGGTGGTGTTTTGGTATGGACTGGCGTACGCTGTGGGTGACGAACACAGGTACATTTTATTGATGGCACGACCATCACCTCATGTTGGAGCGTGAAAATGCATGGCCCCATGTTGCAAGGAACTGGATACAATTCCTGGAAGCTGAAACCATCCCACTTCTGACATGGCCAGAATACTCACTGGACATGTCGCCCGTGTTCCAGCTCCTGCCGATCGATATCCAGTGACTTTGCTCAGCAATTGAAGAGGAGTGGACCGAAATTCAATAACACGATCAACTCAATGCGAAGGAAATGTGTTGCACTGCGTGAGGCAAATGGTGGTCACACCAGATACTGACTGGTTTTCTGACCCCCCACAGACCTCCACAATAAAGCGAAGCTGCACATTTCAGAGTGGCCTTTTATTGTGGCCAGCCTTAAGCACTCATGTGCAATAATCATGCTTTTTTTTTTATCAGCACCTTGATATGCCACACCTGTAAGATGGGATGGATTATTTTAACAAAGGAGAAACGCTCACTAAGACACACCTTTAGACATACGTGTGAACAATATGTGACGGAAATGGCATTTTGTGTATGTAGAAACTTTTTGATCTTTATATACGCACGCACGTACGTACGCACGCACACAAAATGTATGTATGTATGTATGGAGGCAATAGGAATTAGAATTCTGTCCAACAAAGCACTATATAATGGGGTCCTTCCATCCCTCTGATATGCTTTGCATCCCAAACCAAGTGCGCTGTTACACCCATCACCGACACCAGTATCGCACAAGTGAGCTGCACTTGTGTTAAGAGGCTGACTGACAAGCAGCTTGATAATTGAACAAATGCCCATTTGGATACGGAGGAATGAGACACAAAGTACAGAGAGCCAATTATCAGAGCTGGCCGGAGGACTCACAGCAGGAAATGACACGATGGATATATGTCATTTAAAGCTTGTCAAAGAAAATCAGCTTAACATCAAATGTAATGCAAATACCTATTACAGAGAAGAAAGGTTTGGACAGTTTAAAATGAAATCTGAACAGAGATGCCAAACTACCGGTTTAAAAATAAATCTGGCTTAGGCCAAAAAGATTCAAGTTTGTTTTTTTTCTGCCTGATTTTTAAATTACTTTTTGCTTCTTAATTTAGCCCACAATTTTTCCAAGCTCGCTTTGAGGTCGCTTATGAGTTGTTTGGCATTGTTAGACTTCATGTAAGCACAGCAAGGCCCACAGTGAGGAAGGAGCTGTGCTGAGACACAACTACGACATGCTTTCTCACATTCTGACAGAATTTGAGGGGAATTCAAGAACTACGACATGCTTTCTCACATTCTGACAGAATTTCATTTTGTTTCAAATTCTGACAAATGTGAAGGCAGATAGACACACTGTTGTAAAGGAAAATGACGGGAATTTCAGGAGGGAGAGTCAGAACCACTGATACCTTCAAAAACGGTCAACCATGCAGAGTGATGAGAGTACCCGATAGAATTTCCCGCCAAGCAGGTATACTCCCCAGCGTCATCAAAAGACACATTTCTCAGTTGCAGGACTTCCATTTCCTTGTCCGTGGTGTTAAGGCCAGCGGTCTAGAAAATAAAGGAAGTAGACCCAACAAGAGGCCCAGTAGAACGAAGGGAACCATGAGTCAAGAATTCCGAAAGAGAAAAGTGACAGAGGAGAGTTTTCCTCCTCCGACATCAAACACCATTTGCCCAAAAAGGTATGACTTCAAGCCACAGCCAAGGACCTGTAAGGGAGAGCCCACCCTACACAAGAATCTGTTAGTGGAATAGCTAGTTAGGTTTAATCTGGCTGACTAAACACAACGTTGGGCCATCCCATCACCATGTTGGAACAACTCACTTTCATCTCCCCATGCACAAGATGGGCAACATGGAAAACTCCACAGCAGAACAGATCACACTCACATTAGGGCACACTTCACATTCCTGTTTGTGAACAGTGAGCAGTAGACAAACAACTGGATGTCTGTGCAGGAGGAGCCGAGCGGGAAAATGCAAAGGGAGTCCAGAAACAGAGTGTGTGGAGAGCGTGAGCATGTTGATGGGAAAGGGAGCGAAAATTCAAGAAGGAAGGAAGAAGGAAGATGGCAGGTAGAATGGGAGGGCAGAGGACAGAGTGAGCATTGAGAATCGGTCCAACGTAAGCCGGAGACTAAACACCTTTAACTGTTCTGCTGGGAATTTTCCATAGCGTCATTTACAGTCAGGAGCACTGAGGCAGGAGAGAGGGAGGGGGAAAACGGAGGGAGGGTGGGAGGAGAGAAACAGCTGAGGGTGTCTCCCGTTGTACGGCCCTAGTTTTTCCAGGTGGTCTTGGGAGTGTCTCCACTGTGTAGTCCTGTACATCCGCGTGATGTTTACCTGTGGGCTCAAATCTGGTGACAGTCAGCCAGGCCGACTGATTGGCCTCCCCTATATAATTGGACACTTTACATATATATTCTCCACTGTCCTCCTCAGTCACATTGGAGAGGGTCAGCAACTGAGCGTCCGAACTATTAACCCCAGAATGCTGGAAATAAAAGAACGTCATGTGCAGCTCAAACATAGATGTGCATGTCTTGGAGATATTTCATCAAAATCAATTAGCTTCACCCATAGACACATTTACCATCGTTAGTAGGGAGTGCATCAAAATTCTATCAACAGTGTGTGTTAAGGGGAAAACAAATCCTAGTGAGCTCCTACCTTGAGGATACGAACATACGGCAAGCCGTCTGCACCAACGCGACTCCCGTTGACCTCGATGTGCTTTAACCACTGGATGTGAGGCTGAGGGTCGCTAAAAACCTTGCACTCAAATTCCACATCGCTGCCCACCACTGCAGTGCGATTAGCAGGCAGGCCAGCCTGCAGGATGGGCCTGTGTGGGGAGCGTTCTGCGACACAATCAAAACACAGATATACATAAATATTGTACATTGTTGGAGTTATGGACCTAGCTGAGGTCCAGCCAGGCTCACGAGACCCAAGCGCGGGGTATGGATTTCACAGCACCACAGTGAGAGCATGTCAGGGCAGGAGTGAGGAGCGTCATCAGTCCTCCATTCCCTGAAACTCGAGCTTTAGATACCTATATATGAAACAGATTGAATATAAACATATTCAATCTGTTTCATACTTTCATACTGTTTACTGGGGTCAACACTAAAAATTAGGGCCCAGCCGATATGGGGCCTTTTCAAAATAATAATAAGCGTCTGAAGTTTTGCCAACTAAACGCCCATATCATCTTACTCTCATGAAACGGGAAACGCTATTCAGTCGGTATGGCCAAGAAGTAAAGAACATGCACGCCTGACACACTATTGTGTGCGAATTACATCCTTCACCATTAACAAACAATGCCGAAGTATTCATGTTGATGAGATTCATCTTCACTGCATTACTAGTGTCACTACCAAATCTTTTTTTTTTTTTTAACTTACCCAGTTAGGGTGTTAAGATGACTGTCTACATGGCTGACAGAACGTTATTTTGTGTGAATTACATCCTTCTCTATCCTCCCATACACTATGCCCACTAACACCAAATAAATATAATGTAAGTATATTTAAATGTTGATAAGGTTTAGATTCATTAGTGTGCATCGTTACTGTTGAGATTGGCTTCCATTTCAGGCGAACTTTCTCCCTTTCTGTCCATCTTCTATTTCAAATGCAACACGGTCAAAGATAACATGTTTTGACACGTGAGAAAGGCGTCTGGTTTTTATTTTGAAAACATCATGGCAAAGAAAATAATGGAGTAGAAGAAATGTCATTTCATGTTAAGGGGCATCATATATATATATAAATTTAGGTTTTGCTCATAACTTTACTCAATGGGCCCTATTTTCTTGCCAAGCTTGCGCAAAGCGTGGTCAAACCTTGCGCTTGCGTGTGAAACTCAGGGTAATAACTGAAAGGATCAATCTGAGAGATGTACATGTACAGCACTTTGTGTGCAGCGATGGCTGTTTGAAAGTGCTCTATAAATACAGTTGAGTTGAGTTAAGATGACTGATACCTGATCAATAATTAACAGCGAATCAGATAATTGATCGAATTAATTGCAAAGTGTTGCATTGATGCTTACTTAAGTTCCAGTTGGAAAACTCGATACCATTGGGAAAAGAAAAGCACCGTTCTAAATAATTTTTTAGATTCACCACCTACCGACAACATCCAGCTGGTAGGTATGATTGATGCTCCCATGCTGGTTTTCCACCACACAGGTATAGTTTCCCTTGTCAGAGGGCACTACAGATTCCATGATGATGGTCCAAACATGGTCGCGAACCTGAGCATTGGAGAAATAGGTTTCAAAGGCAGTTGGACATAACTCAACAAATAAGCAATGTAAAAAAATATGTCTTTCAGGGTTTCCCCATTCTATCAAGAGTCAAGGGAAGTCAAGGGGGAAAGTGAAAATCTTCAAGGAATCTTTACAGTTAATGGAATGAGGAAATGCTATGTACTATAACTTTTGATTTTACAAGATTGCCCATGGCAACTAATCTAGTTTGAAGCCAGTTGAAAGATTTTTAAAAATGGATTTGCGACATCACGACTTATTTTGAGTCTCGCTGTGTCACAGGGAAAACCTACGTACGTATTCGTATAATCCGTTGTGCATTTTCCAAGGAAGCCAATTAAGACAAAACAAGAATGTTTTGCATTTGCTTTCTCAATATGAATGCATTGCTAATGTGGTAAATGACGAGGAATGTGATGGTTACAAGGTCCAGCACTACCCTTACTTCCTGTTGGCAGCATATCTTTGAAGCAGCCGATCTATTTTCTACCCGCAAGAAAATTTAGTACATGTTTCATATTGAATGTATATGCAGCAGCCTGTCTTATTAACACCAACAGATGACTGATTCGTTTCATGTTTTAAGTTTTCCTCCATAAATCTGCCAAGACCGGGACTGTTTGATTAGCTAACAGACCTCTAAGGCAATGGCAACATCAAACATGCACATACAGAGACTGAGCCGTGCGCTTTCCCTCATTTAGCCAACACAAGAAGGAATCCAGCTGCCGGCTGCCAGATGTGTTGTGCTTGACTTCATACATGTGGTCCACATTATTTCCTTCTTCCTGCACGTCTCTAAGCAGACGATATACAGTATATGAACAATAGAAGTCTGGCCGTAAAAGCAAGCGTGAGTGAGATGAGAGACATCCTGAGCCGCCGATGTAGAACTTTGCACCACGACTGAAAAAAAAAAAAAAAACAGCAGCCAGATGGTAAAAGTGTGCTGCCTGGCTGTTGTGGGCTGGTCAAAGGGGGAGGGAACAGGCAGCTAAGAGGAAACACTTCAATGTGTCCCACCTGGGAAGGAAGAAGACTTGGGGATCCGTGAATTTAGCAGAGCGTATTACGAGACAACAAAAATGTCCAACTTAGAAACTTAAGCTTCACGTGTGCAAAAGAAAATGACTGATGGCACTTTCCGACTTTGAACAGATTCTTAAATGTTCACGTAATTCATCCTTCTTTGTGATCAAAATATACAAGTATGTTTATGTGGAGGAAGTATGACAAAAGAAATCCCGCACACATCTGCCAGCCGTTTCTGCTTGGTAAAACATGTTTCAATCGGCAATTGGAGACATTGGTCTTGTCTTGAATTTTGCAATCTTCCGTTTGATCAACAGTCAGTCAACTATGAATTCAGCTTGTTTGGATAGAGGGCGTGCTCCGTGTTTGCTCTGTGTAGTGTAGGATCCGTGTCACCGTGTTGTGCAGCTGCTTTGCACTCCAACATGGCTGGGCAATTAATTTCGCAAAGAGGCCACACTAGAAACCGGAACACTTGCAGGGGGCCAAGCCAACATGCAAACGTCCTCTCTGTACTTTATTTTTTTTGTGTTTTGAGAAAAAAAACATTGTTTCAATAAAATGCTGGGTGTATCGACATGGCTTGTACTGATAGAATTAGGAAATACAAGTTTTATACAAAATTCTAAGCGGTCATTAAAATGACATTGTTATACATTCAAAATTCTAACAAATGTTGTGCACCAACCCGTATTAGCAGTTCCTAGTCAGGACTCCCAAATTGATAGATAAGTGGGAAGGATAATAATATTGACATTGATGTAATACAATGATGACTTACAATACAGCCAGTATGTGGAGTACATGAAGCTGTACATTTGCATACAGTATTATCTGGCCAAAACCTCTTTGCCCTCCTCCCTCCACTGTGTAGGAAATAAGGATGTTGGTAACCTTAGCACCACTGTTGTCACTTTTGCTACTCACTAAATAGAGCAAAGCTGTCGCTAAGTTGGCACCATGCAGATGCAAGTTGTAACTCTTGCTCGCGACCTCACTTGTACTAACGTCCACAAGTGCACATAAAATAAAAGCATCACACCCCAAATCAAAGCACAGCATCGTTTACGATTTATTTTGAGTTTATGGTGCAGGTCTGTACTCCAACAATCAAAATACACGGTCTCGGGGCAGAGTTACTGATGTCCTGGGAAGATGAGATTACATTTGCACACCTGCTGGAAGAGTTTGAACTTCCAGAACAAGAATCAACACGTCGAAGAAAGTTCAAATTGGAAATATGAGAAAATCAACTGACTGAAGATCACGAAAACTGACCTTAAAACCTCCAATTCGATGGTCTCTTTTGAACTCTTTTCCATTCTTGTACCATTTCAGTGTGGGTGTTGGGTTGCCACTGGCCTGACAGCGGAACTTGACAGTCTTGCTGGCAGGGACAGCATGGAGCTTTTTCTCCATTTTTTCTGGATGAGCCCACTGTGGAGCCATTGCTAGGAAATTCAGAAACTCAGTTAATCAAGACACTAGATACAATAAAACCAAAAGTCATAATAATCATTGTCTATCAGTTGTTGGGAAATATGTAGTCAATTTTTAAAATGGTGTTCTTAAATTGTGGTGAGTTCTTAGGTACAGATAAAGCTTTTGTATACCAAAGTCTCAAAGAGTCAGTGCGTCAGTGATTCACAAGCTGTCACACAACACACCACCTGCAGGCACACTCTCACGTGCACACATACTTTGATCCCTGAACCCTTAATAAAGTTAATAATGATGGGAATGTATATGCATAAACACGACGAGCTAATTTAGCAGCACTAGTAAGGTAAAAGGGATTAAGCCAACTCACGAAGTAGTTTTTGGCTGCCTAATAATTTCGCTTCCTCCGAGGAAGATTCTTCATCCTCATCATCGTCCTCAGACGAGGCCAGGGTGTCAACTGTTAAAACAGAAGTATCTTTTTAGGCATTTTATTTATTGGCTTCTGATTATGTGACTCTTACTGGTTCCTGTTTCATTGATATACCTGTGACGTTGAAAAAGACACTGTGGTTGCCAAAGGTCATGCATGCGTACAGGCCAGAGTCTGCCAGCTCCACCGTCTCAATCTCCAGCTGGCCATTGCGTATGCGCGTGTGTTCTCCATTCACTACGACGACATGGTCTTTGGTCCAGTTGACAGCATGCAGGGAGTCCTTGGTGAAGCAACTAAGGTCCAGCCGATCCCCAAGATAGAGGGTGAAAAGCTCTGCTTGTGTTTCCAAGGCGACTAAATGGAATAAGAGGAAATTGTTATCGATTTAGCAGTTCAGATCATATTGTCATTTCAAAACTTACACAATAAGCATGAAAGAAATAACCAGCGGCAGCGAAGGAAACTGCTCCAAATCCACAGAACATAAATCACAGGTAGAATAAATATAAACTATTGGTGACTTTCTGGAACAGTCAGACGGCACACAAAAACGAGGCTGTCTGTTTGAAAAATGGACTTTAATCATACAGCAATGACCAAGAGACACTCGAAAAGACCTTCCTTGATTTCCTTCTGGCACAAGGCCCACAGTGCCTCTTCCCCAAATGAAATTGCCTCCTAAACATGGCCCAATCGGCAAATAGGCAAGGAGCCACAAGGGAAAGAAAGGTGAAATTCAATTACAGGAATGAAGAGCGAGGAAACGTCAAAGAGACACCTGAACCCCCCTGTTCTAAATGACGACATGGCCCAAGAGGGAGGGAGTAACCGAATTATGTTGACACACAGTCACAATGGTGTTGTCTGTGTGGTTCGAATCGTAGGAGGCATCATTGGCAAACTTTTTAAATCTTGTCCCTCAAGGATCCCGCTAACATGTTTTAAATGCCGTTTGTAGTTCTCTTAGCTATGACCAAATGTGTCGCTTGTCACATGTGAGAAACAAACCAAATACTAGTAGCTATCTCAAAAAATATAACAACAATATAAAACGTCCCACCGTCCCAACAAAGCCCTCCTCATGACAATAGTAGCCAGGAAGGCCGAGAGAGTTAGCATGTGCACATGACCGCGCAAGTGAGGGCCTGCAGTGGCAGGTTCTATTACCAGTTGCTATGGTGACCTCACTTGGGCCTAGTAAAGGTATTTCCTGGATCGCATATGTCTGACAGGCCCTTAATCCCAGCAGGAAAAGGGGCCAGGGGGTAGGATCAACTTTCTCCTCAGAAACACAACCAAAGGGTCCAAGGAAGAAATGACATTTATAGTGATCCAACCTGAATGCAATCCTAAACGCAAGAAAACCCCTTTGCTCTGTGTGAGGGCCATTCAGCGTGTTTCTGTTCCTGCCCTCTAAAACGGAGATGCCACTGATAAAACTGTGTCAACATCCCATCTGTTAATCTGGCTGCAGACATCATAAAACGCCCAGAAAAGTTGTAAAAAAAAAAATTGCTCGTCCAAAACACTTGTGCTTGAGAAACAACTGCAATCAGAGTGTGACACAAAGTGTGAGAAAAGGTAGTGAACTAAAAAAAAGGCTGTATAAATTTCATGATGGATGCTCAACACGATTTGCTTTCAACTCTTCACCCTAAACCAAGTAAGAACCTTAGTGAATATTACTTCCGAATATGAGCGGGATTGATCTCTGTGAAACCTCCTGCTGGTATGATTGGATTACACTGGATTAAAGATTTTAGCCGCCCCTCTGGACTGTTCCTTCAACTATTTGGTGAGACAATGATTGACATCGTTTAAAATCAGCCTAATAACAGAAATCCTTCAAGGAATTTAGGTGAAGCGGTAAGCATGCTGACACGCTTACAATGAGGGGTACAAAAAAAGTTCACTGGTGTGAAAGGAAGAGTTGGCGCCAGTCGTTGGAACACACTTTGGCTGCGCGATAGGAAGCAATATGCTGCATGAATGACTTCTGGGATTTCCTGCTCCCACTGAAGTGATGGCTAAATGCAGCAAAATCCGCTGGCTGGTCAGGGCTCTATAGTGGTACTCTGTAAAGCAACCACAAGAGGCTTTAAAGGTGGGCAATGTGTAGAAGGGACACAACAACTAGGACAAGCAGGAAGCACATGAATAGCACAACGGCCATTAGCAAGTCCCCCCAAATTCACCAAAAACTGTTTCTCCTGAAAGCACTCCAGTCGAGGACCCTTTCACTGCTAAATGAGCTGATGCCAATTAGCATGGATTAACAGTTGGGTGCAACTGGGTTTTTTCTGTGCAAGGCAAATTTTAACTTCAAGCTTTGCCAGTACAGTATCATTCGCACGAGCTGAACAACATTTAGCTTCGCACCACAACATCAAATGGGCAGCTGGAAAAAAAAAACATAGATCACTTTAACAACACACCTCTGGAACATTTGTTTTATTTCTCTAATTATCAATACTACCCTAACTAAATGATTGTCCTTGCAATCAAGAATTCAAACCAATCAACAATTCACTACAAGTCACCAAGGTAGCCAAAATAGGGATTGAACTGGTTCAACACTGTGTGTGAAGGATTTTTCTCGTCCATCCAAAGTAATGGCCAGCTCTTGTTTTGACGATGCTATGACTTCGCTCTTCCTCATGATAGTGTTGTGTTGTGGACCAACCAAATGTTCAAATATAGCATTAAAAAAAAAGACAAACATTTTAATTGGTCAATGAAATATACAGTCTTGATAGTACAGCGGACCCCAGTTAATGAACCGAACCTGTTCTGTGTCTCTGTTCTTGAAACGAACAACAATTTTCTCATTCAAATAAATGGAAATAGAATTAAACGGTCTCCCAGAACCTAGTCGCCTTTGTGCCATCAGATGCATTGAAAGGAATGGAGGGCCAAGAGACCCCTGTGCCACCAGACGACCCGCCCCCACCACAGCTCTACTAGCGGGGAGGGGCGTGTGGTTGCTGTTGGAACCACGACACTTTGCAGCACTTCATAAAAGCACAACATATTTCACTTTTAATGTTCTTGGGAGCCATTTTGAGAGGCGTTCTCGAGCAAAGAAAGAAAAAAAAGACAGTTAACTGTCTGTGAAATATAGAATGCATGAAATGAGAGACGTTCAGGCTGTGTGAGTGATAAGCACAAATGAGCGTTGCGTGTGGATGCTCGGACTGTTGTGAATCGAGACATAGTTCATGAACCTAAGTAAAATTTGCCTGCAAATGTTGTTTTCTGCAGGTGTAGTCTCATCGTGAGCCAGACGTTGGCTGGGGTTGCTCTATTGATTGAGGATGTGCGAGTTGGGGATCTCCTCCTCCTGGGATGGATGAACAATCATCAGGTTGAAAATAAAAACTTCCATTTAAGATTCTACTTTCTGAAACCTCTGGGAATTTTAAACAACCCAAGCACATTTCTTTGTCAGCTCTAATCATTTAACGCTTGTACAAGTTGCCTCTGGGGAGGGGGGGATTGGTGTATTTGATTTGAGCAGGCAAAAGCCTTTTCTTATGTGAGCGACACACAACATGAAGCCCCAAGACGAATAAAAGAAACATGCATACGGTACTAAACAACAATTTCCATACAACTATTTTGTTTCCCCACTCGAGACAAAAGGAACGAAACCAAATGCTTCTGCTGTGATTGTTTGTCGACAGCTGAAGCCATCCGTCACCCAGTAGGGAAGTGGGGAAAAGTGAAGCATTCCCAAGCTAAAGGCGGTGGGGGTGAAGGAGGAAAAGCACAGAGGCGCATAGATATTACCTGGCCATTTGGTGAATAACAACTGAAGAGAGTCTCTCACTTCCCCATGTAAATAGTCATTTATACTCTAGCTCACCTGGAAGATAATCTTTCACCACAAACAGTAATTCTAACGATGGCCCGGAGTAGCAGAGCATTGTTCTCCCATTTTTTCTTTGAAAGAGAAGCATTAATGAAGAGGTTTTCCATGAATTAATGCATTCACTTAAAAAAAAAAATGTTTAATTACTATGAAAAACAGGATCTGAAATGGTGCTAACCCGCGACCTTTGTGAGGATAAACGGATTAGAAAATGGGTGGCTGGACGTCCCGCTGTTGTCTTAAATGCAACCTTTGCAAGTTTATTTTAGAGCTGAGACGATCAAATCCCTCTGACGATTCCCACTTCCGCCGATGAGTTGTCACCACCCAGAGCCATCTACCCACAAGTTTAGCCAGCTATTATGGTGATGTCGTCGATCCAAAAGGAACATTTACAGAGGCTTCGTTTCACCAGCAAATGGAAGTGACTGAGATGAAACCGAATGTGTTCAAGAAAGGCCTAACATTGCACTTTGCAGTTCAAAGACTAAATGTTGTCCGTTGGTTGGATGTTACATTCCAAATATTTCACTTCATCCTTTAGATGACGGTAGTACTAGGGGTGTGCATCCCTCCAATAAAAGACGATACTTGCCATGCGATACGATCCGAGGGCGGTTTGATTTTAAAGTGGAACGATTCGAATCAGTTCGATTCAATGGGATGACGATACAATTTGATATGGTATGGCTCAGTTAGAGAGGCTATGGTGCAATTGAGTTTCTTGCTCATTTCACATACATATGAATTAATTTGTCAGTCCTGAAAATGTGGCATTTCCTTCAAATATAGATCTCTCGAATAAAAGACGATTTGATACCGATCGATTTATTTTGAAGTGGCACGCTTCAGTTTGATTCGATGCACTCGCGTCTTTTAAATCAAAACCCAAACATCTGATTCTTTTGTTATAACCCTAAGTAGTACACAATGAAACATGTCCGGAATCTCCTACAAATCAGCTTCAACAAAATGTAAAAGTCATTTTAGCTGCCAAGCAGATTCCTCTCAAAATGTAAGGATTTCCTCATTGGCCCATACGACATGTGTCCAAGAAATTTAGTTGAAATCAGTGCAAGTTATGCTTTTTTTTTTTTTTTTAAATCATGGAACACGGAGAAGCCTTAAAACCATAAACACTATGATCACACTTTTTTTTAGTCTGTGACTGAACTAGTTTATGCCTAGTCATCAAAACACTGCGAACAAACAAGCATGCCTTTCCTTTGCCACAGATGAATATTTTTAGTGTTTGCAGTGTTTTCATAGAAAGGAAATACCTTTGAGAGCCTTGTTTCATCATACAAAAGGCCATTGTCATGAAATTTGAAAATGACAAAACAACTTTGTTTTATTCACTGTCATTAAAAAAATAGAAAAACAATTATGGAAAAGGGCCCAAAAAATGGAGGACACTTGAGACAAAAATCCAAGCTCTACTGAATGCGGTAGTGTCTCGCATTCATTCCACTTCAAACAACAACGCTTTGCTTATCAGTAGACAATTTATCACCCCTTCAAGTTAAAGGAGACTGATAGGAGCTTACTTCAATCGCCTCTAAAAGTTCAACATCCAAAGTGGGTGAAAGGAGGCAGTTTATCCCACAAACTTACCTTCATCAGGAATGGCAGGGCGGCAATGTGTCCTTAAAACCTGGGCAAAGAAAGCCAGAAACAGAAGTACACTTGGCCTCATCAGCATCCTGTTGAGGGAGCTACAATTGTTGCCTTTTCTGCGACTGGAACTCCATTCAGAACTTTGGGGCATCAGCAGCAGGTCATTTGCAGATATGAACTGTGGAAAATAGGAGCACAAATGTTGGAGACTGTCTGATGTCTTAAAACTACAACTCAGCAGGTAGCTAAAGCGTGGACACAGTACAAGTATAGGCTTTTTTTTTTTTGAATGGTCTTATTATTCGTAAACACTGATGATGAGAAATGCAGACAACCAGTTTTAGCACAGGCCAGACACATTTTGCATAGTTTGATGGAAAAAGATGTTTTGTTTTCAAAACCTTTGAGCAACCGTTGATTATAAACTCCTGAAGAGTGTCATCGTAATTTTTCAAGCTTTTTTTTTTTTCATCCCCCAACTATACCCTGCAAAATGGAGCACTGTGACTGACCCACACACACGCACGCACATCTGCTTGCATCATCACCCTCCAGCTTCTGGCCTCAGAGATTTAACACTTGACCCTACCCCCCTTGAGGAATCTGTTAAAGACCAACAAAACTACAACGTGTCATGTGACACCGTTGTAGAGAGACATCATTTCCACACTTCAAGATCTATTATCTAACATTTGGTTTTGGTCCAAGCCCAAGAGCCTCGACAACCATTTCCTCCCATAAGCCGAATGGACGGACTTGGCAAAAGCATACACACATACACAATTTGCGTGGCTGTCCGACGACAGCAGAGGGCTGGAAACAATGTTTTTTTTTTTAATGAATTGTTCTGCGAGTACATGAGTAAGGTAGGAGTAAAACAACAAACAACGTCATATTGTGAGTCAAAGCCCTCATTGGTTTTATTTGTTTACCCAGAGCAATGTTCTGATGCAGCTGTTGGCTCTTTTAAGTTTTAATCAGCAGTGAGCTGTCGATCTCTCAAAAAGGCACTCTGTCACCCCCTAAACTAATTCATTTTCATTTTCCGAGAACACTTTACTATTCTAGAAGCTGAGTTGGGCCACAGGGAACCAAGGGTGATGAAGAGGCTTGGTCATCGCGGCTTCGTAAGAAGTGACTCACTCTTTGGGTTGATTCCAAGAAAGTCTTTCAGCGGCAAGACCGCACGGTCCCTGTACCCTTGGCAGCACGGCGACCACTCAGCGAGAAGGAGGAAGTCGCTTGTCCAAAGTATGACACAAAGCTCTGTCATCCGCAGTTCCCATGAGAGCGGGAGTCAAACTAAAGTGTGTTTTACTACGCACACACGCAGCACAGGATCTTCAACTTGGTTTACCAACACTCATCTGAATCTGACCTGAATTTTTTTCCGATTCATCATTCCCCAAATAGGCAGATCCTTGCCAAAAAGCAATCCCCATTCAGCGAGAGTTTTTGGTTCATATATTTGATTTTTTTTTCTCTCTCCCTCTCTCTCTTTCTCTCTGAGATGTTTAGATCGATCGATAGATATAGATATAGATTTTTTTTAATGCAAAAAAAAGGGTGTGGTGAAATAATAATAATTTAATTGGATTATTTTGTTTAAAAAAATCCAGTGAAATGTTTCATTTGAACAAATTACAAATTGCTAAAGAACAGTAGTTTTATTTGACAAGGTTAAAAGTTACAGGCCTAAACCGTAACATGGCCTGCATCATAACTGCGGTTTATTACCATACATGCGTAAAATTCCTCAAGTCTTTAATTCTGTAGTCCCTCCTCAGTCATCTTTATTCGATCAGTTGTACGACAGAGCATTTTACTACAAAAACTAAATTATTATCTCTCACAGACTCACAATGCAGCCGTGTGGTTCATCACCAGCATTCCATGAGATGACACTTAAATGTAAATACAATCAGTGTCAAACTGCTTGACACATTGCCATTTGGTTCACATGCACATGCGAAATGCCTTTCACAGTGAGCCTTGTGCGTAGGGTGTTTCCATTTCCACATGGGAAGTTGGAAATAAATACTACATTAAAAGTTTGTTGATGGAAAGTGGTAGGACTGAACAATTTTAGATTGAATCGTGATTTGTTTTTTGAACAGATGTTGCAATCTCGATTCAAATCAACCTTCTGTGCAATATTTACTCCATGCAGAAGCAATTAAAACATGAAATTAAATTACATCATGCCAGCAAAACCTTAAAAGTAGAGGTGTGCCGATGACAGCTTTAGGTTGCCAATTCCGATGCGATCATCCATGAATGAGATGAGTTGATACTGAGTCCGATAGCAATCACATGGATTTGTTGGATATTTTAGACATTTTAGAGCTGCTAAATCAAGATTATTTTCATAACTGATTAATCTCTGAATTATTTTTGATTAATTGAGGAATCAAATTTAAAACTATTCATATTGCATCCAAAAATGCATGCTTTTATTACACAAAAAAAGGACATCAATACAGATTGACAGTACAGAAAATGCACGAACTTCAGATATCAAGATTTAGTTACTAGCATGCTGTGTAACATGTGTAGTGTTCGGGAAATTGGGAGGAGTCACTACAGTACACATGGGCTGATCTCCAATTGGCTAAAGGCTGCAACGTACTAGAGGTGTGGGTGATATGTATTTGTGATTGGTAATGAAAGGCTTTGATCCATATATGCCAATCAAGTACTTTTCCATAGAAATCGGGCCAATCACAATCGATGGCCAAGCAATCTGCACACTACTACTTAAAGCTGTTACTCCAATCATACATTGACACTAAAGAGGTTGTATGAAGGAGGCATTCCTTTTTCCAAGATTTTGTTTTTTAATGGTTCAATAAGCAAGGCTTACTGCTTGTCATCATACATGTACACATATGCAATTATTTGTAATACTGTAAGATTTTTGTGGACAAAAATGTCTGAAATTCTGTACCCATTCTTTGAACATAAATGTGTGATTAATCAGGGTAGGATTATGAAGCAAAATAGTGATTTTGACTTCTCTCGAGCTTTAAAACATTACAATTGAAGAAAAACGATTGATGTGCAGAACTGTGCGGTGTGTTTACAAGTTCCGGATGTTGTGAAAGTACCCTGAATGCACCATGTTGCTTGCATACAGAGCGTGTGACGTTATGCAATTCTGCTGTCTGAGCGTGCTTTCAGCTTACAGTCTTTTTGGAGTTTACTGTAAAACTTACCACGCAACAAAAAGAATTACACATATTGTACATTTAAATACAAAACAAGCTCTTATCTTATCTCTAGACACTTAATTGTACTACTTGGCTGTTCATAGCTGGTTGCTTTCCGCCCGACTTCTGTGTAATGTATACTCCACACCTAAGCACTACTTCTTGTCTTTTGCAATTCTGCAATTCACAAACAAAAACAGTCGTTTCGCGATTTGCATTAGCAACTTCGTCTTCCATGTTTTCTTTTCTTATTTTGCGCCATGGAGGCGAGGATTAGTTACTTAGAGGAAAGGATCCACACCATACGGAACAAGTTAGCTTAGTGTCTGCGTTCGGAAGAAGCCAGGAAAGCAGGGACTCAGGGTGGATGGATGACTGTGTGACGTGGATGCAATGCTTTTTAACCAACTCAGAGCTGACTGGTAAGCGTGACCGACTTTGAATCATCTGAAATCACGGTTTCCGATCCAATCTGAAAACTATCAATTGTCCAGCCCGAACGGGTGGTGAGTACAACTTCCTCACAGTTCTGAGGTTAGGGGTTCAAATCGGAACTCTGGCCTTCTTGTGAGGAGTTTGCATATTCTCATGCTTACTTGGGTTTTCTTCAGGTACTCCAGATTCCTCCCACAGTCCAAAAGCATGCATTTAAGGTTAAGTGAATACGCTAGTCTAATTTCTTGCGAGGTGTTAATGTGGAAATGGTACTTTGTGTACATGTGCCTTCAATTGTCTGGCGACCAGTCCACTCGCCAAAAGTCAACCGGGATAGGCTCCAGTCTTGCTCACCCATCACCCTAGCAAGGATAAGCAGTGTTGATTATGGCTGGATGGATTGATAGTTAATTTATGAAAGGGAGGAATTCTGGGTAACCTCCAATTGGAACTTAAACCAAAATTGTCTAAGGGAAAAAAATAAGCAACAAAAGACAAACAATGTGGCGTTCAAACCACGATCAGGTTTGATGTCACCAAATGTTGTGAGACTTCAGGTTATTTAGCATCTAAAGCAATGCTCTCCAACCAATGTTCCATGGCCACAGGCCCAGGCTGCATCGATATGTTAAAAAAATATACATATCATATATACTTTTTTTCAATGTAGTGGAACATATATGTCCTGATTGGTATGCCCCCCTGCCCCCCAACACATTCCGCCCCAAGCCCCGACTCCCCAACTTCTATTTGAAAGCGGCTTGGTCATGATGCCAGAAAGAGGCAGAGGAGAGGGGTTGGAGTGGCAATTTGGCGCTAATTCGGCTGACTTACTGTATAAGTAATGGCATGAGAAAGCCTTAAGAAATGCACTGTCTCAGTGTCGCAAGCTTTTTGGACAAGGAAGAGATGATGCACAGTGATGTGGTTGAGAAGACACTGCTCCATGCTCAGCCTGAAATATACCTTGAAGCAGACTTAGTGAAATAGTAGCTCACGGATGAGGATAAACTGTCCAAGGTTCCAAGCCATTATGGGAATGCACCCGTTCCCTTATCTGGTCCTCGCCTCCTCCTCCGACTTCTTAAAATGAGCAAAGCCAGTGCTTTCTTTTACAAGAATGAAAGTAACAGCGAGTCAAGGTGCGGTGCACTTCGAATCTAAACCAGTCTCCATGTTTACGCAAAGCTTTCACACTGAGCCAGTGGAGTGCGAATAGTATCTGGCTGTTTTTTTTTTTTTAACTGTAGTTTTGGGGGATTTGATTAAAAAATGGTTACATTCTATTAAAACTTGAATGACAATAGCAATGTTAAAATATTGCATTAAAAATTGTGTACATGGACAGTTAAAAAAGTTGTGATGATGGTGAAAGTTTGACCCTGACTCAAATTAACTGACTTTGCATTGTTACAAAATATGGGAACATCTGTTACAAAAGCCTACGGGAAAATGTGTTGTGAAATTAGAGGTCAACAATCATCATCATGTCACATCACGGAACTGATTGTGTTATGTTAGACTTTGGTGGTTCCACTGAACACAACAATATTTCTAACATGGACAGAATCCATTATGATCACATGAACGAAGACTACCCAATGATAGCAAAATAAATACCAAGACAACAAGGAACCCCCCCTCCCCCCAAAAAAAAACGAAAGAAACATTACTTTCAATCACACAAAATGCAGCAGTTTCAATACTTTTCCAAAATTGTATGTAAACTCTATGTGTAAGTATTACCCGGTGGAAAATTATCCCCGAAACAGCCATCTTTGTGTTTATGCAGAACTTTATATAACATCACCCAGCCCCATATTTCATGAGAATGAAAGCAATAACGGCAATTGGCAAGCATAAATTGACAGCATGTCCGGATGAGTGACCAGAGTGTTTGAGCTTTTCTTATGTTCAGGGATCGTTTGGCATGGTGGACAAACAACTAAAGAACATTCAAATGACACAGTGTACATGTATGTTGGTGTAAAAACAAAGCAGCAACTGAATTCACGGTTTTGTTTTGTTTTTTAGGTACAGGATAGTATATGTTGCATATACGAATAACACTGCCTTACAGCTATTTGCACATCTGTTCGTATTGGTTTGGGACGATGGATGGATACCCTGACTTTCTTTCTTTCCTGGAGATAAAAAGACGTTTCCAAATGTAAAGAAATTCCATTTGTGCATTCCATGTGAAGAGGACTTTATCAGTTGGATCTCAAATTGCAGCGGGAAAACAATGCGAGCCCCGCAGCAGGTCAACATACAATAAAAACGCGTTTGGGGAATAAGAAAAGGAGAAGCTCACCTTACTGGCAGTTAGCCAGCGTTGGTCTGATAAGAACACTCTGGAGCTGAGATTGGAGGGAGAAAAAGTTCCCCCAAAAAAGGAAAATATCCAGTCGTAATGAGTGGGAGCTGCGACACTCGCTTTGGTCGCAACCGTAGAAGTTTAGCTAACAAACTCGCGCATATTTTCCCCAAACTTGGCCAGGGAAGAGAGCGTACGTGCCAGGTTACAGAGCAGAGGGAAAGCGGGAACAAAACTTCCGTACGATGAAACGGATTTGAGTTGATCGGATGTAAAGCGAGATAACGTCCTTTTTTTTCTCCGGGTGGATTCTTTTAAAACGCCCCTAACACAAACATGTTTGGCAAACTTCAGTGCTTCGATCGTCCATTGATTACAGCGTCTTCGCTTGCGATGAATCGCAGTCCTCTCACATCCGAAGAAAAAAAGTTCCTCGAGTCAGTTATTGTTTGGATTGTTTCCTTGCGAGAAACAGGAACCCCTGCAGATAAAAAGAAATGTGTAAGAAGATTTTCAAGATCGCGAATCCGTGCAACTCCAAAGCTCCCCCTTAATTTCTGACTAGTCGATGGGCATCTTCAGCGGCAATTGACACAACCAAACAGTGATAACTTCCGGTCAGTGGTTTGCAAATAAAAGCTAAATGTGTGTGTGTGTGTGTGTGTGTGTGTGTGTGTGTGTGTGTGTGTGTGTGTGTGTGTGTGTGGGGGGGGGGGGGGGGGAAGCTTGGTGCGCGTTTCGCGAATCCGTGCAACTCCAAAGCTCCCCCTTAATTTCTGACTAGTCGATGGGCATCTTCAGCGGCAATTGACACAACCAAACAGTGATAACTTCCGGTCAGTGGTTTGCAAATAAAAGCTAAATGTGTGTGTGTGTGTGTGTGTGTGTGTGTGTGGGGGGGGGGGGAGTATCTTGCGCAAGGTTTGCTACACCACATTACATTTAATTGATGCATTCGTAACTAATATTTAGACAGTTATGAATAAAGCAATCCCCAGTTTCTAAAATAACCCCGCAAGAAGGTGCGGCACTGCCAAGATAAAATCAATAATGTGTCAAGGATAAAGTATATTCTTCAGAGAAATACATAAACGTTTTATGAATTTTCAAGTAAACAAATGGTGAGTAGTGAAGACGCAGCGGCTTGTCTCCTACGTTTCCTGAAAAGTTCCATGTAAAACGGAAGCATTTTTTTGCTCTTTGGATGGTCTTTATTTTGAAGTTCACGTTGCCGACTCTCCGGGATATAACATCGATGGACGACGCTCTGTTGAGTTGGAAGAAACCTGGCTCCCCCTGCCATGCATTTCACCTCTGCGGCTCCTCACACTTTGCATTGTGGGGATTGACCCCAACGCTCAGGCTTGTTTTGCATTGCATTTCTGCTTGTAACGTTTTTATAGACTGTAGCCGAGTACATCTAAACTGCCTCAAAAAGACAACTGAAATAGACATAACTCTGTCTGCACAGGGTAATATCATCACCTTCTGGACATAATGACCTAAGTCATTTTTTGAATGAAACCTGAACCAAATACAGTACTGTACTGATTATTACCGGTAATACTTTCATTGCAGGGATAGACTTGAATGAGCTATTTAACCAAGGATGTGGCCAATTTTAATAAGTGGCCAGAATCCTGAGGTGCCTTTTTTTTTGGTCAAAATGTGACATATGCCATTATTTTAAGAGGGTGAGAATATGCTGCTTTACTGTGATGTGCAACCATGGTGTTTAGACGTACTTGGCTTAAACCAGGATATGGCTGGCGTCAGGCTGGGCCAGTCTTGGGGCACCCACCAAGATGCTTGTGCCCCAAATACATCTCCAACGACCAAGTGAACGAGGCATGTTCACAAATAGCTTTACTTTGCCACATCTAATATGGCTGCAGTGTTGACGTACTCAATAAGGCATTTATGTGCATTTACTGTACAAAGTAAATGTTGTCTATGATACTTGCCAGTGGTTGTCGCTAAGGGCAACATTGAAAAATTATATTGATTGGGAGTGCTACATTAATATATACAAATAAAAAGAGTAAAGTCTGGAGGGTATTAATAATAATTGGGCCCCCCATGCATTTCGTGTGCCCCCCTTAAGGCTGGGCTCCGCATTTACATGACCATAATCATTTATCAGATTTGATGTTTTGTGTTATGCTTTCTCCTTCATAAATATGGGAAAGAAACTGGATAAAAATATACATACAGTGAAATTTTTCTTGCCTAGAAGGGACTCAACAAACATCACATCAAACATCTGATCCTCGAATCACCCTTTGAGGGGAATGAGTGTAAGCAGATGCTGAAATAAATCTTCACTGAATGTGGTGAGCATTGGTGTGAATAATTCTGAGTAATGTGTTTCGCCTGCACAAATCCACAGCAACTTCCTGTTCAAAGCAGCAAGGAAATAAGATTTCTTGGGCTGGCGGACAGATCTCATGCTTTGGCATCATCTCAAACACTATCACAAGTTTGGAAGACATCTACCAAGTCTGATCAAAACAAACTTTTGACTGGTGCCTTTCTAAGACTTTGACTTCATGTCACAGGTTACAAATGAGTGATTGCTATAAATCACATGAAGTCCTGCTTAGTGCTATAATCAGAAAACAATGGAACAGATGTGAATTTTAACATGTGGCATCTTTTCATCGTGTGCACAACATTCACCCTGTGTAATCTCAATGACGTCCATAGATTGAGGTAACTTGTTTGGGTTGCACTACAGATGTTACATGCTGTATTTCTTTTTGAAAATAGGACATTACAAAGAATGCCATTCACCCCGTACTGTCTTTGACCTTGGCACTCACAAAACAAGGTGTGATACTACTAGACACCTTCTTCCAGACCTTTTGAGAGTCTAGTTTCAGATTCTATCATCCAAGTATGAGTAAAATACGGAAATTTTGTGTTTTGGCACAGATGTCTTGCCTTAAAATCACCATGAGGTTATCAGGAAGTCATTTCAACTGGCAAAAACATATTGCAACATGTTTTTTTTCCACTGGTGATTAAATTAGCGAATGTTGGATTTACTTATTTATTTATTTTGTGAAGAACCAGCCTAAAACTTACATCTGTATGGCAGAAGACCAAAATGCTAGTTATTGTTTGTCTAAATTTGTGACTGCTCAAAGGCATTCTCTCTTTGTCCTCTTCAACAATTTCCATAATCTGTGCCAGCCATTTTCAGACTACACTAACAGATGGAAAAAAAATTTTGAAAAAATATAATTAAAATTCCTGGGATTGAATGTGTGGTGTCTGAAAAGACATAAATGAAGTCTTTGGGAGTGAATGGGTTGTAAAATACATTTTAGTGCAAACAGTGCAGTTAACCACATTGCAGTGGGAGCTAACAAACCAGAGACAAAAGAAGCATGTTTATTGGTGTAACGAAAGAGAATGAGAGTGAAAATTGTGCACTTTTGTTCAACCACATTTTTAAAACTTCAGAACAAAATGGTTCTGCTGCTCTTTGTGGGTGTGAGACATTTTAAAGAGACAAGATGACGCACATGGTTAAATAATAAAACAATAGGAAATGTATTTATTCATTTATTTGATGAAGATCAGTCACAAGGCGACATTTGATATTTGATTTGAAATGTGGAAAATGATGTAAAATTCATTTCGCACAAGGAGACAAGGAAAGGAGCCGAGTAAATAAGTGGTGATATTTTTTTTATTACAACACACTGCTTTTGGCAATTGAAATACGGTCCAAAACTTGTTTGGAGCTTTTACTTTCCAAAAGTTTGTACATTTTACCACATTGCCAATGAAGAGTAACCATGTGGACAGTGCTATGGTATATTTGAAGTCTAGTGAATTTCTGCTTTCCCAACAAAAGCTCTCTATTTCAGGATGAGGTGGGGCATTTCTCGGGCACCGCTCACTCCTTTTCTGTTTCGTAAAATATGCCAGACACTGTTAAAAGCCAAGAATACTTTATGCAAAAGTAATCCAAAGGCAAATTTGACCGCAGATCACCCCGAAAGTAAGCGAAAGAGAACCATGCAACAGGTAGTGTGAACAATATCTGTCGTCAGGATGCTTTGCATCGTCATTTTCCTAGCAGCTTCCTCATCGCCCCAAAAGGATGCCTCATTGTCCGCCCTTGTGTTTGCATTGCATTGTTAAATGGGCAAGTACAAATGTCCTCCTTTTATGCACAGTGCCCTCACCCCGGTCTTCCAATCAGTTGCTTGAGCTCAATCCTCATCCATCCATCAGCAGTGGCCCTGTCCTACGCAGCCCAAAGGCTCACCACCCCCAGCTTGGTCTTTGACACAACGCTGTTGTGGTTTTCCGGGTCTTTATGCTGCCTGTTGTTTGAGGCAGATTGAAGACCCTTTGTGTGCGTCCGCCCCTGTCCTGAGTGGCCGGGAGGAACCAGTTGGGTTGCAAGTGGAGAGACAGGAATGCGCATATGAATGGACCAGTGTGTGTCGGGCACCTGCTGATATGGGGACGACGTGCCTGTATATTCTTCTTCTTCATCAGCGTAACCAACTTGTTCAATGATACGCACAGCGCAATGTTTAACGTTCTTTGGTTGTTCACCCTCATCACAGTACTGAATTGTTTTACGTCATTTGTAGTTGTGTAGTTGCGGTTGCAGATGTACAGTCTGGTCCATGAATTATGGGGCATTGATGAAATCCAAACCTTTGGGCTCCAAACAGCACTATAGTGGATTGGAAATGAAACAAACAAGATGTGCTTTACCTTCAGTTTTCGTCTGAAGGTATTTACATACAAACCACGTGCATGATAGATAAAAGGAATTACAACAGTTTTAGATGTGTCCCTCCCACTTTTTACTAGAGCAAAAGTAATGGGAGATATTAACAATCATAAATCCAACTTGACATTTTTATGCTTGGTTGCAAATCCAAATCCTTTCACTTATAGCAGGGCTAGGCAACTCCGGTTCCTTGAGAGCCACATCCTGCCTGTTTTCGATCCCTCCCTTCTCCAAAACACCTGATTCAATTGTTCATGATCGTTTCAGGCCTGTACAGGGCTTGCTGATGAGCTGATCATATGAATCCGGTGTTTTGGAGTAGAGAGGGATCTAAAACGGGTAGGATATGGCTCTCGAGGAACTGGAGTTCCGTACCCCTGAGTTATAGCCAGATGTCTGGAACAAAGAGCCATCACAAGATGCTGGATTTTATTCCTGGTGATGCATTGCCAATGTCTTTAGTTTCTGCTTTTTCTCGTGGAATTTTCCCTTCAGTTTTGTCTTCAGCAAGTAAAATGCATGCTCAATCCGATTCAGGTCAGGTGATTGACTTGGCCATTGCACAACTTTCCACTTCTTTGCCTTAAAGAAATATTCTTAAGGGCATTGTCCATCTGCACTGTGAAGCGCTTTCCAATGAATTCTGAAGCATTTGGCTGAATATTAGCAAATGATATTGCCTGAAACACTTCTAAATTCATCCTGCTGCTTTCACTAGCAACTCTCTGCGACCCTGTTCAGGATAAGAAATGTTGAAAATGGATGGATGGATGGATGGATGTTGTAAGTCCTACACTGTTCTACTGAGTTTGATGTCCAAAGTAAATATCCTCAAATTAAATCAGAGAGTTTGTCAACAAATCCCCTCCTATGCTTTATACAGTTGGACTCTATGATTGGTTCACGAATGGTTTTGATAACATGGGCTCATGAGGGACATGATGACAATGTGAGAAATATTATTGGTTTTTAGCAGCACTCGATTTTAATGGACTGTAACTGTAGCTCACTCATCTGGATGCATTGTCCCACTGACACACTACCCCCATATCACTCTATACTGTATTAAAAAAGGTGGTGGGGGTGTTTTGGGATCAAGAGTGAAGTTGTACTTTTATGTGTTATATATGGTATGCTGTAATTGGTCTTTTCTGCACAATGAAAGGGCCCTTGAAGCTGAATGCTGCAAGTCATTAATGAAAGCTGCGTGATAGATCAGTCTGCATGGGGGGGTTTATGTTATTTCAGAGAGCCGGCAAACGGCCCAGTCTCATGCTATCAACTCAACATCTCCCCATCTGTGTACATGGAGCATCTCAAACATAACGTATGATGGATTTGGAAAGGAAAATCCGTAAAACCATGTTTGAATACAAAGACCAAGTACCAGATTGTACGGAGTATACTTTTGCCAAGTTCCTCAGATTTGGAAAGCAGTTTCTAACAGCCATCTGCTGCATGTGATGGGATGTAGATATATGATCCCAAAAGACTCATTATTGTCGTCTGACTCATATGGTATAGTTTATGACTTGTTTGTCTGGCCCTGCTTTTGAGGAGATTACATCTCCATAATCAATAAAAACAAACCATCCACCCAAGGCAAGTAATCAGCCCAATGTAAAAAGTCAAAAGAAAAATAAACTCCCCTCTCAAACATACCCACAACAAAACCACCGGCACATTTATTGCAAATGTATCCCTCAAGAAACCCGTTTGTGATTTAAAAAAAAGAAATGTCTTGGTGTGGTTACATTTTGTTGTCTATCTTCTGGTTGCCATTTTAGACCGCAAGATGATGCAAGGGCCCGATGATCTGTTAAGCAGTTTCTGGACTGATGACTCCTATCACCTGCTTACCTAGCGAGTGGAAGACGTGTGCAACACTTCAAACAGGAGATAACAAATTACCTTCAAGAGGATCCAAATTGGATTATATATGCATCATCTCTCAGAAGCAGCTTCCACAGATTTGATTACATCCTTACAGCCCCTCGCCCAGCACCCAGACTCCCACTTCTACTTCTCTAACGCAGATGCGACGACATGCATGGGACAGACCTCCATGCCAGTCTCTGATACTGAACCCTTATTGTGTTCCCATCTGCCTGCATTTTACCTGATTACCTCAGGCGAGCACAGGCGGGTCCAGCTCTGCCAGGGCAGCTGGGGGGCTGGAGACTGGCATACGTTTAGCACTAAGCGGAGCATCGTCGTATCACGGAAAATAAGATTAATGCCATGCACAGTGGCATAGTGCTGAGGCTTTTTAAGTAGACAGAGTAATCTTCATCTCTAAACTCTTAAAACCTAGAATCACAGTCATTTGCCACCTCATCCTGTTTTAGAAAAAAAAGACACAAGTCCAAATCCACCCCAGAATTACAAACAGACCACCATCTATTTTTGATGAAAATAACATCTATTCCTGCTTAAACTTGGGCTCATTATGGTGGAAGTGGGTTCCCGGGCCAGGAAGTTTTCATTGCTTTCCAAATAAATCTCACTAAACAGAGCTGTAATCCAAATTCCCCATCTTGTGGAGTCCTCACACTGCTCCACACAACATGAAAGCTCCGAAAGAGCCAAAGGCATAAAAATCACACCTTTTCATTCTTGACGTCCCAAAGAACGACATTCCAACAGATGAGGATGAGTTAGAAGCAGGTAATTGAAAGTAATGTGTGTGAAAGAATCATTTTGGATGGTTTTAACAAGACATATTTTATTTTATGCTTTTGAACATGCAGTGCCTCGACCGAGAGGGTTATTACCTCCACTACTTGCAAATCGAACCCTGATGGCAGTATCACCTGGCATAACATCAACCGGCATGTGTTCCAGTCAAAACTACATAGCTAATTGAAAAAGAAAAAATGAGCCATTTCTTCAAAACGTTATGAATGCCGAATGAATGATTTACAGATTCAGGTGGAAAAAGGCTCACTCATTCAAGTTGGGTGATCGTGCTCCTTGGCTGTGTGTGAGGAAGAATTCGTCACTGAGAGTAAACAGCACTCTTGGCAAAGTGCTCTGAGTTAAACACCCCCAATACCGCCCCATCCCCCCCCAACACCCCACCTCCTTATGCTGTGTGGCGTCAGCTGCAATGAACTCCAGATGTGGCCTGGCACCCATCCAGTCTCTGCACTGGATGTGGTTTAGAAGGTAGTTTAGAAACACCACCCACCGGCCGACCCAATGAAAGTTGCTCGGATTTAAGAGAGCAGTTCCTGTCGGTGTTTGTATTTTTGTGCAATGCACTGTAGGGAAGGTATTTGTCTCCAACATGTGCAGGTTTTTCTGATTCAAATGGAATTCAATTAGAATAAGTATGAGATTTTTCCCATCTGTTTTCGTATACAAAAAGACCAAAGTATTGCCAGTTTTCTCTTCTTTGTTCCCCTCTCCCCGCATACTTATTCTGTCCAGATGAAAACAAACATGTTATTGTTTGGCAGATGCACAGAGACTGAAAAAAATGATACAGCATACGCACTTCATATTTTGTTATCAACATAATATTTTCATAATGACAAGAGGGGGGAAAAACAGTGGATGTGAATAAGCACCAACTGGGTTGAACAAAACAATTTTTTCTAATGCCAAACAGCGGCTGAAGTAAGCATTTAGCGCGTCACCATTTTCTCACTAAATATAGTTCCAGAGGTGCTATATTGACGTGAAATTTTCACCAGATGATTGGGAAGAACCCAAATAATAAGCAGTCTTCCAATCCTGAAGGTTCCACGGCTTTATTTCTGGACCATGAGTTTAAATTCTTTCCATAGATTTTTGACTGGATTAAAGTCGGGTTGGGCCATTTTAACTGCTTTCTTTTAGTATTTTTTTTTCTTTGAAACCAATTTGGAATTTCCATGCCATTATGTTTTGGATCATTATCCTGCGGAAATGTCCACCTTGGTTTCATTTTCATCATCCTCATAGATGGCATCAGATTTGTGTCAAAATTTTTTTGGTACATTTGCAGGTCCATCCGTTTTTCAATAATGTGAAGTTTACCAGTACCATATGCTAAAAAGCATCCCAACAACATCATGTTCTCACCTCTGAACTTCACTGTTCGTGTGGTGTTTTTCAAATGATGTGCACTGCCTTTTCTCCTCCAAATGCGAGGTGTATTATGCCAACAGTTCCATTTCTCTCTCATCAAACCAGACTATAATCTCCAAGTATTTAAATGTCTTGTCCAATTTTTTTCAGCAAACTTCAAACAAGCTTTGACATGTTTTTTGGGGGTTTGTTTCCAAAGCAATGGGGTCTTGTATGGTGAGCTGCATAGAGGCAGAATGATGAGATAAGAAAACCTTTATTTATTCTTTTTAAAACTCTATCGGTAGTCCTTGGCTCTTGGACAACTCTTCTGATTATTCTTTGCACTCCACAGTTAGACATCTTGTGAGGAGCACCTGGTCAAGACAAATTTATTTATGTAAATTTATGTATTATGGCCCCAACTATTCTCCCTGGAACATTTAGAAGCTTAAATATGCGCCCGTAATCAATGGTGTTGTTATATCTTGCAACAATTGGTTTGCGATGGTCTTCAGACAGCTTTTTGCTCTTACCCATCTTGAAATGTGTCTTAACTCACACCTCGGCAATGAAACCTTTTTGTAGGTCACCTTTTAGGACTGAACCAACCCTTATTTGTTCTCCTTTCTTTGTATGTTGTTTGGGTTGTTCCCAACATCTGGAGAAAAATTCATGTCAGTAGCACCTTTGGAAATATACTGTATTTAGTGAGAAAAATGGTGACATGTTAAATGCTGACTTCAGCCGGGGTATGTGGCCCAGCCCGTTTGCAAGGCCATTTAAAAACATAAGGTTAAAATTAGAGAATCATGGCTGGCAAGTGACAAAATAAATAAGGCATGTAAGTTTTGCTACCATGGAAAGACCCAATTAAGTGTTAAAAGTCAAATGGAAAATAAGTGTCAGCCTACAATATGGCTTTTTCAAATGTTGCTGTTTAGTCACCTTCCCTATGTAAGGCAATGTGTTAAAATTAACTGTGGCAGCTACTCTGACTTTTTATGGTCTTTCAGACTGACAGACGGCGAGTTTTCTAAACACAAGCAGGAAGGATGAATGAGGTCACTTCACATGGTTGGCTGAAAGCACAAGTCAGTCCATTTAGTTGATAGCTCCCCCTGCTGACTGGCATAATGCTGCCAGCCAAAAGGAATCATACTCATAAATGTAAACACACAGGAACGCATTTAATTGCTCAATGTGAGGTTCTGTACGTTTTATAAATGTAACAATAGATCCTTCAGTATAGCGTATGCACTGTGTAATGGGATCATATCAAACATAGTCAAACTGTACTTTACATCATTCATACCTTCACATTTTTATGGTAAGATTTATTTGGCACAATAACACTATTTTTTTGCATCAGAGTGAAATTTTGCGAGTGATGGGCAAATGAAGTTGTAAAGCGCTGAACCATTTTGACGAATTGTTTCGAAAATAGGTTCAGTACTTGAAGCTTCAGTTGTAGTGACCCCTTCTGGCGCAAAGCAAGTCTGCAATGATCCTACACCAAAAAACAGAGAAAAGAACACTAAGGACTGGTTCCTGGGGTAGTCCGTGTTCTGCTTCCTAGGCATGTCATGGCAGTTTTGAGCGAGCCACAGAATCTTCACTTGGTCTGGGGCTGTCCGAGAGTGCTGACCTCAGTTTGAAGATTTGTTGTATAGGTGGTATTCAAATATCCATGTATTTTTACAGGAATCCTTTTAGAAGCTTCTGCAAATGTTCTTGAGGGGCCATGTGGTAGGGTAGCTGAAGCCTTTTGTTCTTCTGGGTGCAAAGTGCAGGACAGGCTTCAAGAAGTAGCTGACACACCTTTTCATGACCTTGTTCTGCAGCCTGACCAAGCATTTTATATCACAACAGAAGCCAGCGAGAACAGTTGAAAGAAAATGAGAAGTTTTGGTGTTATCACCAAGAAATATTGTAGTGCCCATCACGTTACTTTGGCAGGAATAGCTTACCTTGTGTAGAGGAGACGCACCGTCATCATCAGAGCTCATTGGATCAGCTTTATGGAGCAGCAGCAATCTAACGACATCCACATGACCGCAGAATGCTGCCCGATGGAGGGGCGTGGCACCACCTGGGGTCCGAGGAGATGCACAAGCACCGTTTTCAAGAAGGAACTCACATACAGTGAGATGACCGCTGCGACTTGCATAGTGCTGAAACAAAATGAAACACATTAGATTCATATAACAAGAATGATCCAACGTGATGATGGCACATCTTCTTTGGGGATTTACTAGAGCTGTATATCCGGCTGAGTCCCTGAGGTTTGGATGGGTGCCCTTTTGGATCATCGACTGGACCCGCTTCAAGTCTCCATCCATGGCGGCAGACCAGATACCTGCACATAATAACATTTTGGATATTCACCTCAATAGACAATTTCTACTCAAACGTCTCAAAAGTAATACGATACAAACCTCGTTCAAAGTCCATCTCACTCATTGTCTGATGAACACTGGCAGAGACAGGAAGGGTGCAACACGAGCAACAGTGTTCTCCATCAGAGGCCATTGCGTTCGTCTGTACTGACACAAACTAAAATTTAATCATCATCATTGAAGTCATGAACCAATTTATAAAGACAAAAGATTGCCTAGGCTCTTACCAGTTTGGTTAGAAAACTTGCGGTGTACTGGAGTAACAGGTCGGCCTTCCAGATTTACACAATCAAAAACAAGAAGAGTAAATTTGATGCACAAAATACATTAAAGCGAATTTTAATAATGGTTTGAAATTTAGTTAATGAATTATTTAGCTCTTATTTGTAAATACTTCGACTGACCAGCGACCAGTACAGGGTGTAGTCTGCTTTTCGACCGAAGTCAGATGGGAGAAGCTCCGGTAACCCCGGGACAGGTGCTCAGATTCAGCGGTCTTGAAAGTTTATGGATTATTTGTAAATACAGTAAACACAAAACTGAGTCGATTCAACGTCGCTACCTGGTACGTCACCAAAGACGTAACCAACGTATTGACGTCAGATATGGCTTAACCAATCGCAGTGCACCAGTTAGAAGACACCTTCAATGTACTATAAAACGGTTGTTTGTTTCATATAATTTTATATAAAGACAACCTCAGTGCTTTGAGGTCACATTTAATATTAACCAAAGCTGAGTTTATTTAAAAATGACTACAATTTTATCATATGAATGTTTCAAACATTTTACTTTTATAATTGTATTTTAATGTTCGCATTAATTCAGGATTCAGTGAAGGCACCGTCAGTCTCGTGTTATTGACTGTTTTATCGCTAGCTAGCAAGCTTGACATACGGTACGTGTCAGCTGGCAGTCACGAAGTTGTTTTTAATTCCAACAACGTACTTATCTATAACCAAAGAGCAATAATGAGAAGAGTCACGTTATTCGTTAACGGGACGTCTAAAAATGGCAAGGTAGGCAAAAACTCTACGCCCTGATGTGCGAGGATGACTGGCCTGCTATATTTAACTGTCCTTTTTTAATTGGTTTTCATATCTTTGACGCTTAAGTCATCTGTTTTCATTCATTCACCGATTTAAGGTTCCTTCGTGTACTGTACCTTACATGTATCTGTGCATTACCATTTTGTTTAAAAAAAGACTAACACCAAAATAAACACAGTAAATGCATTTTCTCTGCTCAGGTTGTAGCAGTGTATGGGTCTCTGTCTGACTTATTATCTGTCGCCAGCAATAAATTAGGAGTAAAAGCATCCTGTTTATATAATGGCAGGGGAGGTCTCATCGATGACATTGCCCTAATTAGGTAAGCGCCCACAACAAAAGTATGTAAATAGTCTTCTTGACTTGCTTCTAAATGGTCTTGCCTTGGTTGCAATAGAGATGATGACGTGCTGTATGTCTCAGAAGGTGATCCGTTTATTGGTGAGTTTAGCCATATTTACAGCTTGTGTCTTGAAATACCTAAACTTTAAAGACAATCACTTGTATATACTCACAGAATTTCAAAATGAAGTCAAAGTTGGATCTGATCAACAAGGTGCTCACACTGACTGGTTGACCCTGAATATTGGTGGTCGTCTCTTCACCACTACCAGGTATGTCACACACAATCTTAAATTGTTAAAGTTTACCCTTTCATGCACACTCTCATTTGTATTGTTTGTATCTCTTTACTAAATGTGTCTATTAGGAGTACGCTGGTCAGCAAGGAGCCAGAGAGTATGCTTGCACACATGTTTCGGGAGAAAGGTACATTGGTGCATTAAAGTCACCCAAATCTGTTTCAAATTAGTTTCAATGTGAGCCTTTGGTTGAAGTTGATTTACCGTAGTAATTTTGTGTCTTTTCTTCAGATGTGTGGGGAAACAAGCAAGATGAACATGGGGCCTATCTGATTGACCGCAGCCCTGAATATTTTGAGCCGATTCTTAATTACTTGAGGCATGGCCAGCTCATTATCAATGAGGGGATAAATATAAGAGGTAAGGATAAGTTTATAATGATTTAAAAAAATGCAATTTAGCCTAACCTACTGTATAAAGCCCAAATATTTCGGTATGATAAATCTGATATTGTTTATTGTAATACAGATTAATTTACTGTTTGTGTTTGTTAAAAAACACGTGGGAAGAGGACCTTAAAAAAAAATTGCGCTTATAAAATCGCACTCACAGTTTTGGGGTGGGGAGAGAAACAGGTAGATCATTTTTCAAAATCATTCAACCTTAATTTGTAGCTATGAGCAGTGGTGTAATATGTCTTCCAGGTGTTCTTGAGGAGGCTCGATTTTTTGGAATTGAGCAACTTGCTGATCAGTTGGAACTGGTCATCAAGGTATTGTTGTTTGACGTTATCAAGAAGTGTTATTATGTCCCATCTGTTTGCGCTGACCTGTCATTTATGCACCGTGATACCAGAACTCACAGCCGCCTGAGGACCATTCTCCCATTTCCCGCAAGGAGTTTGTGCGTTTTCTTTTGGCCACACCCACAAAGTCAGAGCTCCGTTGCCAGGTAATTCCATTAAAACACACACACACACACACACACACACACACACACACACACACACACACACACACACACACACACACACACACACACACACACACACACACACACACACACACACACACACACACACACACACACACACACACACACACACACACACACACACACACACACACACACACACACACACACACACACACACACACACACACACACACACACACACACACACACACACACACACACACACACACACACACACACACACACACACACACACACACACACACACACACACACACACACACACACACACACACACACACACACACACACACACACACACACAACACACACACAATGAACTTACTTTCAGAGACATCAAATGTATCCCACAGATTTGTTCAAGAAAAATGATTTTGTCCATCTAAGACCTGTGTTTATGTCATAGAAACTCATGCATTTAAAAGTTATGAATGGAGCAAGGAGAGGAAACATGTATGCCTGAACCACTCCATAAAACACAGACGAGCTACCACTTTGACCACATGCTCAATACAAAATCTATGTTCTGTCTTCACGAAGATATTAATGTTCTGTTTTGATTGAAAGTGTAAGTGGTATTCATTAATGTCACTTTATTGCTATGGTTGTATTTTGCGATGGTGTAGAACTGTACTGCATCATATGTAGCATTATTAGGAATATTTATGACTGTCATGAAATGTTGAGACTATTAAACATTCATTACGTGTTTATAGGGACAATATTTGATACAGGTAGTGGCCCGATTTTATATTAAGCTTTGGTTAGAATCGTGGAGCTGTTTGGTGTGGCTTGTAACATGTCTTCGAATTTCCCAAAATGTTGTATTTTGTTGTATTTAATTGCGTACTTAAGACAGATGTCCAAAGTGCATTATATTTTGGTCCAAAGATATGATTCAAACATTTGATGCGATGTTGCATGTGTATGATATATCCTCTCGTTTACTATTTTAGGGTCTTAATTTCAGTGGCGCGGATCTGTCCCGGCTTGATTTGCGCTACATCAATTTCAAAATGGCCAATCTCAGCCGCTGCAATCTGACACATGCCAACCTGTGTTGTTCCAATCTGGAGCGGGCCGATCTGTCCGGCGCCAACCTGGATGTAAGTCAGTCTTTTTTACCATCTCTTCTCCAAGATTCGCCAAGTGTCACTTGTGATTTGATGACGATAGTTCGCATTCCCTGCGTTTGGCTGGCGACCAGTCCAGAGCGTACGACACCTCTCGCCCAAAGTCACCCAATTAAGCACATTACAAGCATACACAGGAATATTTTACAAGTGGGAACTAATCTTTACATTTGCCATGAAACACGCCAATTCTGAATGCGTGGTCTCTCAAAGGGTGCTAACCTACAAGGTGTGAAGATGCTCTGCTCCAATGCAGAGGGGGCCTCTCTGAAAGGATGCAACTTTGAAGATCCCTCTGGGCTGAAGGCCAACCTGGAAGGTAATCCTTCACACATCCTTAACCAAACCAGCTGTGCTCGCCTCTTTGTGGTTTTGTTACGAGTCGTTATCATTGCAAATAGGAGCAAACCTGAAAGGAGTTGACATGGAAGGAAGTCAAATGACCGGCATTAACCTGCGGGTGGCCACTCTGAAAAATGCAAAGCTTAAAAACTGCAACCTGCGGGGCGCCACTTTAGCAGGGACGGATCTTGAGGTGAGATGTGGTCATCAGAGCGATTAACACTGAACAAATCAATAATGTAACTGATTTTTTTTTTTTTAAGCTTCAATCAAGCAGCAGACGTAGTCAACCTGTAATTTGTTTAGTTTGTTCAGATTTGAAACAGGGTTTTGTTTTTTTTTGCCAACGATCCTTTCCAAGGTCCAAACTTTTATGAACTGTTTGGGCAATTTTTAAGTAACATTTCAACATTCTTAACTGCCTTCCATGTTTAAGTAATGAATTTCTGTTGAGTCAAAGCTCACATGAGCATCATGAACTATATCAGTGTTTAAAGAAGTAAGTCACTGTAAAACATAAACATTATGCTAACCTCAACTTTCGTGTCATCCAAGGCCATTTGACTCCCAAGGCTCCAGTGTAGGCAATGTTCCAACAAAAAAGTGCTGTAATTGTTGTCACAACATACCTGATAAACCTGGAAAAAAAGTGCATTCCATCATCACACAAATGTCCACTCCGAAACCGACACACATTACAGAACAAGCCGGAAAAGTAATTGGTTCCCCACAGATCTACTGTCCCATCTGTTTGACCATCGTTTTAACAGGAGAGCCGCCTTGATCAAAGATGCACCCCTTCATCATCCCCATCCTTCATTCTGTCTCCTCCCATCAGGCAGGAGAAGTCCCACTGGCCAGAAAAACAAGCCATTAAAAAATTAAATTCATTTCAACCGCGGTGACGGCCCTTAGAGAGGAGGAATTCAAAAATTTAGTAACCCGATAATTAATTGCTGCCAATCCTTTACTTATAAGTATCAATTCATATGGTTGGGTTTTTTTTTCCTTTAATATGTTGTTTCTTATTTTTCTTGTGCACTTTTGTTGAGGTCCTTACAAATAGGCTATGTTAGGTAAAGTGCATTACCTCAATGGAATAATCAACAAACAAGTCAAATTTGGTGGTTGATTATGAAGACACTACTTTTTATTTCACCTTTGTGTTGGAAGCACAGCATATGAGCCAAGGAAGAACGATTTAATTTGATTGTGGCCTGCTGAATCTCTTTTCACATCACAGCAAGGGTTCTTCTCATTTTTTTTTTGTATCCCAATGGTCTGTGTATAACTGCTTCCTTGTGCAGAACTGTGACCTGTCTGGCTGTGATCTACAAGAGGCTAACCTGAGGGGGTCCAATGTAAAAGGAGCCATTTTTGAAGAGATGCTGACGCCGCTGCATATGTCACAGAGTGTTAGATAACTGAGCATGCACATCAACTCAGCCACTGACGGATCCTTTAATCACTCGTCGACTGCAGACTCCGACGGTATTTTCCGTCAGTCTCAATACCTGCATTTAGCGCAGGTCTCCGACATTTTATCCATCTCATGATAGCTTTAAATATCACTCTATTTATCCAGCGTTGTTTTGGATGCATTTTAATGTCTGTTTATCCACCATCGATGCATCCATCCCCTTCCGCTCATCCGAGGTCGGGTGGCAACAGTTTAAGCAGGGACGCCCAGACTACGGGACCAAACTGAAACAGGTTGTCCACCTACGGAACAGCGCATACAGGATGAAAACCACACCGCTCCTCTTGAATTTCCCAACCCACCCTCCACTGAATAGACCTTACCAGGGAGGCTGAGGCGTGCGATTCCTTTGTAGTTGAAACACACCCTCCGGTCCCCCTTCTTAAAAAGAGGGACCACCAACCACCCAGCCTACCAGTCCAGAGGCATTTTCCTCAAGGGCCACACAGTGTTGCAGAGATGTGTCAATCAGAAGCACCCCATACCATCTAGAGACTTTAGGAACTCTGGACAGATCTCCTCCACCCTCCACACTCTGCCACTAAGGAGCTTTTTCACCACCTCGGTGACTTCATACCCAGAGATAGCATAGTCCACCTCAGAGAACCCGGCATCTGCTTTCTCTTGGAAACACATGTCAGGGGAATTGAGGTCTTTGAAGTATTATCTCCAGCAATTCTCAAGGAAGGATGAGTCTTGCTTTTTGGTGCGTAGGCACCAACAACAGATAGGACCTGTCCTGCCACCCAAACACTGAGGGAGGCTATCCTCTCATCTATCGGGGTGAACCCCAATGTACAGGCACTGACCCCGCTGAGTAATAAGTATGCCCACACCTGCTCCGATACCTCTCACCGTTCTTATCTTCAGAGTGGAATAGAGTCCAACCCCTCTCGAGAGGACCACAGCCCAAGATGTATGTGAGCAAGACTATATCAGAACTTCTCAACATCATCAACAAGCTCAAGCTCTTTTCCTGCCAGAGAGGTGGCATTCCATGTCCCAAGAGCCACTTCCTGTCTCCTCTGCACACCTGACCCTCTTAGGTCCTTGGCCCCTGCCACAGGCGGTGAGCCTTTGGGAAGGGAGACCCATGTTGCCTCATTGAGGTGTGTCCAGCACAGGCCTGGCCATCAGGCGCTCGCCAATGAGCTCCACCTCCAGGCCTGGCTCCAGAGGTGGGCCCTGGTCACCTGCGTCCAGGCAAGAGAAAAAGAAATCCAAATGTTTTCCTCATCAGAAGGGGTTCTTGAGCTTTGCTTTGTCTGGTACCGCACCTGGCACCCGTTTGGCATAGGTAACTTTGCTGCTAGGATCAGTGGGACACACAAACCCATCCACCACGATTAGGTAACGATTTATGGAGGAGCTGTTCAGCCGCATGTAAAACAAAATAATGTCTTTAATGTATGTTGAAGTGTCTGAATGCAATAGAGTGAATACAATCATTTGGCACAATTATTTATCTCTCTATATATATATGTCGAGTATTTTGCATTCACTTAACTGATTAAGTAAGGAGTTCACACCAGACATTGGTTGCAGTTTCTGAATGCTGCTTTCGAAGAATCAGTAGTGGTCTCACTTACAAATGACTGTGTGTCTTTGCTTTTCTCCCAAAGTCACTTTGGCCTCATACAACGCTTTATATATGTAAGCCAAAGCCACAGGAGAGCAGTGTCAAAGGTCAAAGTGCTGTGAAACTATGCGACTAGGTAGATGTCAACACAGCTCAGGTATGCAATACATAGTTTACAGCTGTCACCGTTGTCTTTTCCGACAGTCTGTATTTTGTGCTCAAAATATGTCTGCATTCTTGTTCCTGTGCTCTGTGAATCTACCTCTTTGTGATCCATTTGCATGTATTCAACTGTGGCGCTGCATACTAAAATGTGCATGTAGGTCAGAGTCACATCTTACCTTTCGAGTTAAGAGCTACGAAATATTTATCTTGTTTTGCCGAAAGGTTTGAGTCACATGTTCATGATCATTGATGTTGGTAATTCTCGGTGTATAATCATGTAATCATGCTTTGAACCTATTTGCACAAGGAAACATATATCTTTTCATTTCCAAAAATGTAATTTGTGTATTCCTATGTATATTGAATCCAGTGCTTCCAAAACTTTCCAAAAATATTGTAAATAGGTTTAGGGAGAGGTTCTTTTGTCAAGGAACAATCTCCTTGCTGCACTGTGTCTGTCTGCATGTGCTTTTCTGTCTTTGACCGGTGCAAAACATTTAGCTGTAGCTGAGGACTGCTCTGATGCAATACTTTTTACTCTGTTTAACAGAAGGTACCAAGCTTGTGAGAGTGATTGATGAAGGCAATGTTGGCGTATCACACCGTTCGTGTGAAACTCAAAGGAAGTGATCTGGTTATTTATTTCAAAACATATTGTGAATGCAATATGGGGCAATGGTAGTTTTGTTTTGATTTGATCTCCTTGTCCATGTTTATTGCACTTGACTGTGGAAATTCTTTTCCATTATATGACTGTTACAAATAAACACCTTGAAAGAAAAGAATTCCTGTTTGTGTCTCAAAAATATAGAATATTGTAGTAAAGATGAAAAGAACCCCCATAATTTATTACATAGGAACTCAAACCAAGAATTGACTGTCTATGAATGTTTTGATCATAGGAATCATTTTGAGTGTTTCTTGTGCATTATCCTAATTCCGTACAATGGTGAATTAGATTTTTTTAAAGATGTAAACTCAGTGGCACGGTGGTCAACTAGTAAGTGTGTCCACCTCACAGTGTGAGGTGCAGGGTTCGATTTCGGCTGCGGCCTTCCTTTGTGGAGTTTGCGTGTTCTCCCCGTGCCTGGGTGGGGTTTCTCCGGGTACTCCGGTTCCTCCCACATTCCAAAAACATGCATGGCAGGTTAATGGAACACTCTAAATTGTGATTGTGAGTATTGATGGTTCGTCTATGTGCACCCTGCGATTGGCTGGCAACCAGTTCAGGGTGTCCCCCGCCTACTGCCCGAAGACAGCTGGGAGAGGCTCCAGCACGGCTGTGACCTTTGTGAGGATAAAGCGGATCAGAAAATGGATGGAAGATGTAAACTATAATCATCCAAATTAAATAAAACAGAATAACATGTAATATGGCATTTCACTCTAGTGAATCTGTATAATGAGTTTTACTTTTTGAGTAGGATTGCTGAAAAAAAATCCACATTTTTATATGCTGTTCTAATTATGGAGATGCACATGTACGTCTTTTTTTTAAGAGCACATTAATCTTTTTGCTCACCCTGAAGGTCATGGCTGCTTAATCCCACTTTGAGACCCCCCCTGCAGTGAAATGAATGGATTTTGCAAGGATAGAAAACCAAATATATACCTTGGATGAAACTGCAGCTTCCACTTAGGACAACAGACAACTGAAAGCAACTTGCCTCTTAGTGTATGGACAACCTTATCTTGTGCAGAGTATAGCGATGAAGTTCTGTGTGCTCTGGCTGCTGATTTTGGCAACATCGGTGCAAGTGATCTGTCAGCACTGGTCTTATGGACTGAACCCTGGAGGAAAAAGAGAGCTGCACCCTTTCAACCAGCAAACCAATGTACCGGTAAACATCCACGATTCCTATGGCACTCCATTCATTCATTTGTTCAATCCATGCCCCTACATCAGATCAATGTGTGTTTTTTCCTCCACAGGTGGTTGGTGGCTTTCAACATCTGGGCAAGCCTTGCAGAGTCCTGGCATGTGGAGACTTGTCACCTTTTGCCAAACTTTGTAGGATGAAAGAATTTCATGTAAGTTCTGCATTTGATGTCTAAATGCTGAATAGACGCATGATAATAATAGCTTGAACTTGTCTCGTGCATTTCTGGGACCCAAGGGGACTTTACATCAACTTTAGGGGGATGATAAATGTACGTGTGTGTGTGTGTGTGTGTGTGTATAAACAAAGTAAATATATTTTTGTTTTCTGTATTGTTGATTTTAGTTTTTTAAAATCATAATGACACTCCCCCCACCCCTTTTTTTTTTCCTTTTAGGGAAATACTGCTGGTAGACAATCTGGACAAAAAATATTTAAAACAAAATAATGTGGTTGCATAATAAACAATCTGCATCACTCTGTCTTGTGATTTTTGTGTATGTCTTTCACTGTGTCCAGGGTGTAAAGATGTCAGTTATTAAAATGTATAAAATATGGAGAGAGGATGTCAGGTTGGGTGGGAACCGAGACTTTCCTGATATGATACACAAATAAACCCTTCGTGCCTACCTTTCAGATATCGATCCTCCCCTCTCATCTGTCTTCCTTTATTCTTCCTCTGTGCACCACATCCATTCATCTTGTCTGATTTCCTTCCTTAATCTCTCCATCGCTTCACTCTCCTCGTTGTTTATCTCCATTCTCATCCCATCATCTTTTCTTACAATTCTACTTTGTTTTACCAGTCTGATTGTATCGGTCCCACTTCTCTTCAATCCTGCTTATTTTTTTCTATGACACCATTATTTACCACTGTATTTAAAGTTGATTTGTCCCTAAAAAAAAAAATCTTATCATTCATTCCATCTTTTCCCATCATCTCTGTCCATCTCAGCCCACCCACTCCCTACTGTGCACCATGCTTGCAAGATGAATGAGCAAGTTAAAGCAGGAGGTGAGGCCTTCATTCCACCCTTTGTCATTTCAATTCCTCATCTTCTCCTCTTTTATCATGCACTAATCCTCTGTTATATTCCCTCTGTAGTTCTTTGTATCCATTATGAATGGAAAATGTTGAGCCTAACCTTTTGTATCCTTTCCTCTGCCTTTCTTAGACACTTGTAGACTAGAATGCTCTTCCTTGGTTACAAAAAACCGTTTCATGTTGTATTTTAACATAATTAAATATGTTTGTCTTGTTAAACCACGACATTCAGTAAATATTGTCCAGTACAGTAAAGTACTGTATTACATCAAACACATTCGACATAATTTCGCATTCCACCACTAAATGGCGCTAGAAAACTTCTTTAAGTCCATTTTCTATGCAGTTTGGGATCCTGTTTGGGGTCGCATGGAGCTGGAGCCAACTCTTGTGACATTTGGCCAAAGGCAGGTTACACCTTGGATTGGTCTCCAATTTAAGAGCAGGGTATAGAGATACAGTAGATATCCATTCAAGTTTGCATTCACACCATCTCCAAGTGTGAACCGAACCCACGCACCGCACTCCAATTTAGACAAATGCATTATTAGCTTCTCTATCAGTAACAACTTGAAGTTCAATGTTGTTTTGCCCAACGTGACGTTGCTTTTATCAGTTAAAAAAAAATCAACAGTATAGATATGCATGTAATGTATGTATATGAAAGATAATTCGTTCCCACCGTGCCTAAACATGGAAATACTACATGAAAATCATCAAATTGAAAACAAGGCAACAGATGAAATTCCACTGAACATCATATCTAAAAATATTCGGGGAAAAACATTTTTAAAAAGCCACATTTACCGAGAGAGCACAGACTTTTTTTTCAGACCATTTTTCAATCCGCTTATCCTCACAAGGGGGGGTGCTGGAGACTATCCCAGCTGTCTTCGGGCAGTAGGCGGGGGACACCCTGAACCAGTTGCCAGCCAATCGCATGGCACACAGAGACGAACAACCATCCGCGCTCACACTCACACCTAGGGACAATTTTGAGTGTTCAATCAGCCCGCCATGCATTTTTTTTGGAATGTGGGAGGAAACCGGAGTATCCGGAGAAAACCCACGCAGGCCCGGGGTGAACATGCAAACTCCACACAGGGAGGCTGGAGCCGGAGTTGAACCCGGTACCTCTGCACTGTGAGGTCAACGCGCTAATCACTGGACCACCGGGCCGCCCCTTCAGACCACCAGTAAAACTTTAATCATGTCAGTTGAGATTACGCCAATCAACAGTTTTGGCTACTTTTTAGTGGAGCGCAAACAGACCTGCGTGACGTCTTCACACAAAAATAGCGTCACAAGTAAAGGTGCAACTGGATCGATTGTCACATACCTCATATAGATTTTGTAGTATCTGCTCATATTTGAGCTTCACAGTCAGGAACGATCACTCACTCACAAAGTAGTGATTTGCTTCATTCCCTTGTTTTTGTTTACCCACCTGTGGAAGAAATTGTACTGGTTTCCGTTTGCAGCTTTCTGGCCCGACTTGTTTGACCCACGTGCCATAATCTCACTTGGCTAATGACGCAAGCCTGAGAAACCTACACAAAGATAATTTATTCTAACTAAATGTTGTGTATGTTGATTATTAATGTCTGTAACTTCAACAAATTTTGCACGATATATATATATATATATATATATATATATATATATACACACACTGTGGTGGAGGACACACACTTCATTTAAAGTACCGCTAAACTTTAATGCCCTGGTTTCTTGCCTGACACTCTGCAACTCTGTTTCTCCAGTTAGTGCGGCCAGCGTGCGCTCTGCCACTCCCAGAGTGCAGTGCACTGAATTACGGTAACTAAACAGCACATTCTAACTACGCACCGAGTTTCCAAACGATCCGGAGTGCAGCAAATCGAGCTGAGAGTGCAGTTCCGAATACACTCTTTGGCGTTCTGCCTATCAAAATGTTGTGGAGGGATCGTATGGGAGCCGCTTTGCCATTGGGCTGTGTCTTTTCAGTATGCAGAGGTAGTTTTTCGACTGTCAAATTTAGAGCCCTCATTTTAGCATATTTAGGGATATTGTAAAATTGATAACATATCATACATTGGTGTACTACAGAAAAAAAGGAATGAAAACAAGCATGAGTCGCTCTACTTTTTCTATTGGCAGCCTAGTTTATCCTCCTGATCAGGACATCTGAAATGGCAAACAAAAAAATACCAATGACGTAATCGGTAACTATTCATATCCTGCTGTCCATCTGTGCTCTTATCTGTAATGGAAAGTCAAACTAGTTTAAGTCATGTGCTGCTAATAAGAAAACACACCGGACAGAAAATCACTTGCTTCTTTGTAGTTTATCTGATTATTCTACATGCGCTGCTTATCGCTCTTGTCCAAACTTAACCAAAACCAGAAAAGACTCAACCGTATCATCTGCAACGAATATGACATCATAGCGTTATGTGCAAGGAGCCATTTTAGGGCGTTTCAATGTTTTTCATGCAATTGCAGTTACTTTCACTGAACATACATCTGACAAAACATCCACTCTGCATTTTCGTGGAAGCTATTTGGCACACATAGTACATTAAAGGTTAAATATGCACAGTATGACATAAAATATTCAGTCATTTGTGAATGATGTCAATGAGAGAAATGTATTAAAGTCGAGCAGGCAAACTTGGGTGATGAAAAAATATCTAGGACAACGACTCTTGTTTGATTTTGTAACAACACTCGAATACCTGTTGGAGAGAGGCGCTGCACTAGATTCTTTCTAATTAGGGTCACCGAAATCAGTGAAGACACGAGCGGCTGAAGGAGACAACCAAACCATACATACATACATACAAATCTGCTTCTTGTAATGTGAAACACTGAAAACATGCCAAAATCACATTCCCATGATGAAAGAACTGGAAAACATAATTTAGGAAATTGTGCTTTATTCAGGTAGAAAGTCTGGATGAAAAAGCAATGGCCATATTGTGCTGTATTTATTTTTTAAATACGGAACAGTGAATTCATGCGCATAAATACACTTTTCTCTCCTTATCTGTGTGTCTGTCTGACACACCAGCCTTACTTTGTCATTAAAACATCTTATAGGGTGAAGCCTAGTGTTGCAAGTGCAGGTACTACTGTGTGGTGTAACATGACGCAATACCATCATTTCAAAATACCAGTACTTTGGGGCTAAAACAAAACAGAACAAAAAAAAAAATAACTGTGTAGGGCGGC